CATATTTTCAAAGCTATTTGCATATAACTCTAATTCTTTTGCATGGTTTTGAATGCCTTAGACAAAGCATAATTTGAAAATACTTAACTATATCAGCTATTGTAGCAAAAAAGTATCTATATTTAAGAAAGCTCATATCCTATCCTAGGTGTGGGAAAAATGAAGTCTCATTCTCTTAAGTGTCCTCTAGTTTCTGTAAGGCTTGCTTTAAACATTGAATGACGTATATTGAAGGGAACCAAAACCCTCTTCACTTCAAATTCTTTACTATTTCTTGATCTCAATAAGAATTCCACCAGTTAATCACTTCTTTAGAAGTAAAGTAAAAATATGGAGGTAAAGTAAAAATATGTTTATGGAAGGAGTGTCATACCCTCCATTTTGCCTTATCATAATTTTGTTTAGTCTGAACAGATCGCTGGACATCCTGGTGGGATATATACCCATGGATTTAAAATTCAAATACAAATGGGCCCAAATGCTTGCCCTTGAGAAATATTATCACTTCTTATTGTTTTATTCCAGACTTTGTATTCTAGATTTTACTCCATGCTAGGCAACAAAACAAAGGCAACTTACACCTAATTTCTGCCTCAAATTTCTTTGCCTATTTGACTTTGGATGTTTAACCATGGATTGTGAACTTTAGCTAACTAAAACATTACCCCCTGAGTGGAAAATTTAGAATCCCCACACTAGATGTAGACTTGAGGGTGCATGAATGTCTACTGACCACAGACAAGCCAGTGAAAAGTTAATTAAGTAATTCAGAACCAAATAACAGGGCCACCAGCATGCATAGAACCAATAGCTTGGAAACTTAGTTATTCATTACCCTTGAAGTTTGTATTGACAAAAAATGCATCTTCATGGCTGCTTGGCATCCATCTACTTCCTTATTATAAACTGAGAGGATTGTTAGGACTGTCTAATAGCAAAGTTAATGAAACTAAGAAGTTAGTTTTCCTTAATTCTGAAAGATGGAGTCTAGGGACACCACTACACAGAGTATACAGCTAAGACCTAGTAGTCTGAAATTCAACTCACTATGTTTAGCTCTCTCCATGAATTGTCTTCAACTGCTCTAAGATTGAGCATAATACATATCAATCCCTTTACCTCCCAGGGATTTTTTTTTTTCATAGTGTAATGAGCTGCTTGAGTAAATTTCCTTAGAGAAGGCTACTGCTAAGATACAGCACTTCAAAATGCATGGAAAAAGAAATCAATCTCGGCCTTATCAAATAAGATGAGTCCACAGTCACATACCATTTCTTGGCATCTTGAGGAAAATCACACTTTTGGGGGGTTTTGTTTAAATCAAGGAAGCATTAAAGACTTGATCCCCTTTCCCCCATTAGTCCCAAGAAGATAGCAGCAGGGAAATCACAAGAGTGGAAATGCCCAGGTAGAAGAAAGCCAGGGGCTGTGCGTGCATGCTAATGCCTCGCCCAGGATGGCTCTGCAGGGGAAATGAGAGGCTGCATTTATTCCACCTACACCTCTCTATAGCTCTAGTTGTGCCAAGCTGCGCTGCCCAGTTGTCAGTTCCTAGAGGGAAAGGAGGCTGCCTGTTAGCTTACTTAACATCAAAGTGAAATTCACTACATTAGTCACATGAGCTATATTTTGATGCTTCCTTTCAAATGTTTCAGAGAGTCTCCAGGTTTGTTTCTGTTTCACTGACTTATTTAAAAGCCCACACACCTAATATATTAGCTTTGGTGTCTATTTCAGAACCAAAAAGAATGCCTGAGTTCAGAAGGAGTTGGCAAGTAAACATAATTCTTTCCAGCTTCTGCCTCTCAAATTAATTCCTTGCATTGGAACATGTCCTAGACCAATGCTTTCCTGATGTTAAGGTGCACACAACCCCATGGGGATTGTGTTAAAATGCAGAGTCTGACTCAGTAGCTCTACATTTCTAAACAACTCCCAAAGTGATAGCTGAACTGCTCGCCCACAGATCTTAGCATGAGGAGTGGAGCCATATTGTTACACAGGGGTGCTATTCTTTAAAGGTCTTAGAATATTATAAAGGAAAAAAAAATAAAGGACAAGAAAAAAGTAACCAGGCAATGAAGGAAATATAGGAAGGTCTGGGTTTTCAGACAGTAAGTGAACAACAAATAATTTACTACCATGGAGCAAAACACTCCAAATTGAAGGTATGGTGATGTGATGGGCTTGGATCATTTAAGCTATGTACTATAAGAAAACAGAACTAGTAGAGAAAAGCAGTAACTGCTCTGAACATGGATTCCATTTCAGGTCCCAGATGGATAGAGATTTTCACTCTCTCATGATTCTTCAGGTAATGAGAAAAAAAAATACTCCTAAAGTGTGACATAAATGGCCTTCAAGAGGCATTAGTGTTTAAAGAGTAAAAAAAAATGCTTTACTTCAAGGTTATTTGGGTTGGGAGGAGTGTTTCAAATTAGCGGGAATGGGAATAACAAAGTGTAAGGCAGAATTTTCCTTCTTAAGTGGGCCAGTTGATGAACTATTCAAGTCTGTTTATAATCATCCAAATGTTCTAAGACATGAGGATGTATTACAGCATTAGATTGGCTTGAATCTTGGAAGGAAATGTCAGAAGGAATCTTCCCTGCTCTGTTTCCTTGAGGTGAGAAAAGGACTATTGGATGGATATGGAAGGAGGAATTGGTCTCTCTTTACCTTTGGGTAAAAGTGTTGAAGACTTGGGTTTAATAAAAGCAAGCACTTGACAGGGAGTCAGAATGTCTGAGTTCCAGGGACAATGCCTCTATTAACTAGCTGTTGGACTTTTAGAGAGCAACAGCTCTCTAAAGTTTCTCTATTGACAGGATTAATCAAAACTAGTGTTTCTCAAAGTGTGACAGGATGTTAATTGAAGTTATGTGGAAAAATGCTGTCTGTGGTCAAATGAGGTATGCAGATTTTGGGTGAGGTACACTTAAACAGGTTTCATTAGAAGCAAGCTTCTTGGGTTCTTTACATGGAGCCTCTGAATATGGAGAGCAGGATTTACCACACTTGTTTGATTGTGGAACCCTTTTTGTTGTTCAGTCACTAAGTCATGTCTGACTCTTTGTGACCCAACGGATTGCAGCATGCCAGGCTTCCCTTTCCTTCCCCATCTCCTGGAGTTTGCTCATATTCATGTCCATTGAGTCAGTGATGCCATCCAACCACCTCATCCTCCGCTGCCCTCTTCTCCTTTTTACAAAGACATTATCAGAGAAATGCAAATCAAAACCACAGTGAGGTACCATTACATGCCAGTCAGGATGGCTGCTATCCAAAAGTCTACAAGCAATAAATGCTGGAGAGGGTGTGGAGAAAAGGGAACCCTCTTACACTGTTGGTGGGAATGCAAATTAGTACAGCCGCTATGGAGAACAGTGTGGAGATTCCTTAAAAAACTGGAAATAGAACTGCCATACGACCCAGCAATCCTGCTGCTGGGCATACACACTGAGGAAACCAGAATTGAAAGAGACACATGCACCCCAATGTTCATTGCAGCTCTGCTTATAATAGCCAGGACATGGAAGCAACCTAGATGTCCATTGGCAGACGAATGGATATGAAAGCTGTGGTACATGTACACCATGGAATATTACTCACTACTAAAAAGAATACATTTGAATCCATTCTAATGAGGTGGATGAAACTGGAGCCTATTATACAGAGTGAAGTAAGTCAGAAAGAGAAACACCAATACAGTATACTAATGCGTATATATGGAATTTAGAAAGATGGTAATGATAACCCTGTATGCGAGACAGCAAAAGAGACACAGATGTAGAGAATAGTCTTTTGGACTCTGTGGGAGAAGGCGAGGGTGGGATGATCTGAGAGAATAGCATTGAAACATATATATTATCATATGTGAAATAGATCAGCAGTCCAGGTTCAATACATGTGAGAGGGTGCTCAGGGCTGGTGCACTGGGATGACCCAGAGGGATGGGATGGGGAGGGAGGTGGGAGCGGGGTTCAGGATGGGGGACACATGTACACCCATGGCTGATGCATGTCAATGTATGGCAACAACCACCACAATATTATAAAGTTATTAGCCTCCAATTAAAATAAATAAATTTTAAAAATTAAAAAAAAATAAATTCCTTTGCTAAAGAGGGCCTAATCAGTACTGGCTTTTTGACCTCCCAAAATGCCACTCTTTTCCTTCCTTTCTTCCCTCCTTCCTCCCCCCTCTTTCTTTCCTTTTCTTTCTTATTATACCATTGGTAAAGTTTGCTTTCCGTTTATAGGTATTACAGAGTCCTGGCTCTATTCCCCATGTTGTACAATGCATCCTTGAGCTCATCTTCCACCTAACTGACCCTGTGTGCCTCCCACTCCCCCACCTCTGTATTGCCCCTCCCTCGTCCCCTCCCCGCTGGTAACCGGTAGATGGTTCTCTATATCTGTGAGCCTCCATTTGTATCCTATTCTCTACTTTGCGGTATTTTAGATTCTATAAGTGATATCACACAGTATCTGTCTATCTCTGTGTTATTTTGCTCAATATTCCACCTCCCATGTTGCTGCAAATGTCAACATTCCATTCTTTTGATGGGGCAGCTCCTCTGTATGCCTTTTTAGCAAATGGCACGGCCACCCCACACACGACACAGCTCCCCAGCTAAGTTTCCATCTCTGCACTCACTCAGAGAAACACCAAGGCCTCTTCCTCTTCTCCCATGGGAAGTGTGTCTTTGAAGCTCGGTCTGGAACCAGTTCTTCCCCCTACTTTCTGGCAACCTGGACCTCCTGGTCCCATCTCCAACTCCACAGAAGCAGTCCCCTTCCCTCTTCACACACTTATCCCTTCCCTGCCCTCCCTGCCCCCCACTATCAGAGAACTCAGAGACAAACATAATTTCACATCAGGTTGATTTTATTTCATTAATGTATGCAGTTGCTGTAATAATCAGGATATGTACTGTTAGCCAGTACTCAGTGGTGAGACCCCTGAGGATTTCTGAGGCCTCTAGCCATGCCCCGAAGTCACTGGCTGTCCACTGGTCCACCTGGAATGGGAGGGGTCTCCACGGTCTCCGGGACCTCCTCTGGTTCGCTCCGGGCAGGTGGGATGGCAGGGGTCTGCACGATCTCCGGGACCTCCTCTGCTTCGCTCCGGGCAGGTGGGATGGCAGGGGTCTGCACGGTCTCCGGGACCTCCTCTGGTTCGCTCCGGGCAGGTGGGATGGCAGCGGTCTGCACGATCTCCGGGACCTCCTCTGCTTCCTTCTGATTCAGCTGCTCATTAACATTGAAATGCCTGCTACAGAGCTTTGAACCTCGGATTTTCTTAAGCTTTTTTGTGGTGGCATTCTGAGTTTTCTTGGGCAGCTTTGCCGGAATGGGCGAGTTGACCCTTACGGTTCCCCTGGCCACCTGGAGAAAACAAGAGAGGCAGTAAAGAATGGCACTGGTTTAGGGAAGAGGGTGAAGACGGGTGGGAACGATGGCTTCAGGAGAAGGGGTGTGGGCAGAGAAGGGTTATGTGCCAGGCAGGGACAGGGGAGGGGGTCTTTTGGGGTGGGGTCGATGGGCAGGAGGAGTTTGGCTGGGTTCAGCTCACCTCGACATTTTTTCTGGACCTTAATTGATAGGAGGTCTTCATCTTCTCCTGGGTAACAGGAGGTTGGTGTTCCATAACTAACTAGTCTGGAGGCTTCTGACTTCCCAATCACCTCAGTCCTTTGAAGGACTCCCAGTGGTCTGCTCAGAGCCCCTGAGCACCCCTATATACACCCATCCCCAGGGGGCCTCACCCTCATGCTTTATGAGGTCAGCAAGTCTCTGCCCCAGCCAATGGTGGCCCTGGGTGAGCCTTGACATCACAAAGCCCCATCCTGACATGTCTTTCGGGGGATGGGGAGCAATTCACATGATTTGGTGGGAGAAATGAGGCATTTGTAACGCCCCTAAAGAGGCCTCCAAACTCACCTGCCACCCTCAACTCTATGTAAACTCTGATGGGTCACACGGCAGGCAGAGTGCGTCTCCTCCAAACCTTGCCCCACAGCCACACTCCTCAGGCATTCATTCTGTTCTCTCTCAGCTTTCACCACTATCTAGCTTTTCATATCTTGCCTGAAATCCCTGCATGACAACTAGGCTGTGTTTAAGTGTCTGTGGAAGCAAGAATCATTCCATGTTCCCTCTGCAATGTGGTCTCAATGCACCTCGTGACCATTGACTTCTGGGCCGGCCGACAGAAACCTTCCCCATCCTGCCTCCTTGTCTCAGTGTTCCGGAGCTCGACTCCGTTTTCTGGTCTCCAGTCGGAAACCCTTGTCTTCAGGCTGTGAGGACGCAGTGAATACACTTGCCCTTGCTCCACACGGAGCTGTCTCGTGTCAAGTCTAGGACTCAGGGTCACCTCACTAGGAGTACTACCCAGGCTTGGGTTTGAACAGGGTGATGGGGATGGGGCAGAGAAATGCATGTTTCAGGTTGTGCTGGGTGATCCCATGCAGGAAAGGACCACCTGCGGCTGATTAGTATTCCCAGCAAGGGGTGGAGCTTGCCCAGAGCTGTGTGAGCCTTGTGTGCAAAGGTCTTCTCAACACATGCGCTCCAAATCTCTCTCTTCTCATCTTGTTTCCTTGCTGGAAGCTCCCTTGGAGCTTAGCTCACAGCCAAAACCATGGTGGAATTCATTTCCATGAGCAGCTGCCACGAGCTTCCAGCTTCTTGGACGAAACACTGAGTCATCCTGTCCTGTGCATCTAGTTCCCACGGTCTCTCATTGAGCTGGTTGGCTCTGGAGGAAAGGGGAGTGGATTGTGTGCTCCACCTCAGTCCTCGTTTTTCTAATTGACTCGGAGGGTCAACCAGCCTGAGGTGCACCCCTGGGGACAGTTTGTTGGCTTAGTGGGTCTTCCTGGGTTTCCTGTGAACTGTTCACATCCTGGTGTCCACTTGTTGCTTACTCACCCAGGGTCCATCACACTGCTGAACATTTTAAGAGGTAGAAAAAGCACGCCGTAAACAAACCCAAAAGATAACTCTTACAATTTTGAGAAGAAAGATCTTAAAACCTGATAGAAAAATGGGCAAAAGACACGAGCCAACAGTTTACAAGAAAGATGTATCACTGGCCTTTACCTTTATTAAGGCATGTTTAAAAGACACGAGCAGCCAATTCACAAGAAGTGTATGGAGCTAGCCCCGAACCACGTTAAGAACATTTTAAATCTCACTAAGATAAGAAAAGTCATACTAAAATTCCCTTGAGAACTGAAACCGAGGCAGAAGTGGCATAGATTTTAGAAATTGCAGACAGAGACATTAAGATACTTGGAATAACTGTGTTTTGTGTATTCTAAAAGTAAGGAGAGACATGGAAATCCTAAGATAGACCCCATCTGATCTTACAGATATGAAAACTATAGTGTCAGATGCAGCCCATTTTAAGGGCTTCCCTGTGGCTCAGACAGTAAAAAAAAATCCACCTGCAACATGGGAGACCGGGATTCAATCCCTGGGTTGGGAAGATCCCCTGGAGGAGGGCATGGCAGCCCGCTCCAGTATGCTTGCCTGGAGAATCCCCATGGACAGAGGAGCCTGGTGGGCTACAGTCCATGGGGTCACAAAGAGTTGGACACGGCTGAGCAACGAAGAACAGCACAGCACAGCACATTGAATGTTTGTAAAAGAAAGGCAGGTAGGGAGGAAAGAGGGAGAAAGGGAAACAAGGGAAATGAAAGGAAGGAAAGAAACTCCTCTGTTGCTGGTGAGAACAGAGCAACCAGAGATGTCCCCCAGCAGGACAGCACCCCACATGTCCATCTGAGCACTCTCAGATGGTTTGAAACAACCGTCTTAAACTTTGGTCCCACTCCTTCAACCGGACTCGTGTGCAGGGTACACCACTAACAGGCGAATAGTCATCAGGCTTTCTTCTCATTCAAATTGTGATTCACCCAGAAGTGAAAAAGACACGTGTGCCCCAGTGTTCATCACAGCACTGTTTGCAATAGCCAGGCCATGGAAGCAACCTAGATGTCCATCAGCAGACGAATGGGTAAGAAAGCTGTGGTACATATACACAGCGGAATATTGCTCAGCCATTAAAAAGAACACATTTGAATCCGTTCTAATGAGGTAGATGAAACTGGAGCCTATTATACAGAGTGAAGTAAGTCAGAAAGAGAAACACCAATACACTTTACTAAGGCATATATATGGAATTTAGAAAGATGGTAATGATAACCCTATATGCGAGACAGCAAAAGACACACAGATGTAGAGAATAGTCTTTTGGACTCTGTGGGAGAAGGCGAGGGTGGGATGATCTGAGAGAATAGCATTGAAACATGTATATTATCATATGTGAAAGAGATAGCCAGTCCAGGTTTGATGCATGAGACAGGATGCTCGGGGCTGGTGCACTGGGATGACCCAGAGGGATGGGATGGGGAGGGAGGTGGGAGCAGGGTTCAGGATGGGGAACACATGTGTACACCCATGGTGGATTCAAGTCAATGTATGGCAAAACCAATACAATGTTGTAAAGTAAAATAAATAAATAAACTAATTTAAAATTTTTTAAAAAATAAAACAAATAAATAAAGACCATTTCAAAAGATTCATGTTTTACAGAATTTACTTTGAGAAATAAAAATGTTTTCTAAGGCTACTTCCATTTTTGGTACAATATCCTATTCAGCTGTGTCCAATTCTTAGCAACCCTGTGGACTGCAGCCCGCCAGGCTCCTCTGTCCATGGAATTCACCAGGCAAGAATACTAGAGTGGGTAGCCATTCCTTTCTCCAGGGAATATTCCCAGGCCAGGGATCAAACCTGGGTCTCCTGCATTGCAGGCAGATTCTTTACCATGTGAGCCACCAGGGAAGCCCACAACATCCTACCGTGGGAGTTAAATCAGGAATATCTAGCAATCATACCTGCATCAAAACTGAAATTTAAAAAATGAGCTTTATACTATTTTTAATTTCTTACTGTTTTAACTTGATAGACCTTGTTTTAAAAAATAGCCTCTTAATCCAATTCCAAAATCAATGTACTTTTATTATAGAATTTTATTTGAAAAATAGGGAAGAGCACAAAAACTTACAATTATTAAGTGCCACAACCACTAATACTTTCATATAGATCCTTCTAAAGTCAAAGTATATCCTATACTCTTTTCATCCTTGTCAAGGTTTTTACCTCCCATTCAGCAGATCTCATATTCCAGTTTGCATATGGTCATGTGGTCATGTGGCTTTCACATTTGGCCCATTTTTAAAAATAAGGACCTTCAAATACAAAATTTGTCTGATATAAGATAAAACACTGAAGCTTAAAAGTTGTCTCAAAATGAAAGATAGTAATAAATTGCACAGTAGAAAATTAGCTTCATCATTATAGTCAGTACATTATTCTTATAATCTAAAAGGCTGAATTCTTGTCATATCTGAATATTCCTTGGCAGTGGCATCCAATTTATTTGTATATTTATACCCTATCCTGTTGCAGACATAATTGATGGTGACTCTCTAAGTGTCTTTAAATTGACTCCAATAATTAAAACTCATCAGTTTTAAGATACTGAGAAACCATAGCCTCTTAAATATCTCTGAGTGTAGGAGATGATGATTTTCATTTTACAGATTCATCAGAATACCATAATTCATAATGTTCATAATACTTGAATAATAGTCTTCACATTGGGTGCTTTATTGAAACAGTGAGAACAAAATTCTAGAAGATTTTGTTTATAACCCTGCCTTTAAAAATGAGGAATCCACACAATGACCCCTGGGGTTACCTTTAACTTGTTTTGAATCTTTCCATTATAAAAACAAGTTATTGAAGGAAGAAATGGTGGGTATTTTTTCCCTTAAAAAGTGTTTTCCCCATTAAAATTGTGCACTCCTTATTTTCTGAGAAGCCTATCTTACAAAGTTGTGTTATGAATAGTTAGGGGACAAATCACAGGTTTTTGACTGGAGAGGAGTATTATTGATTTTCTGTGATTAAGGGATAAAGAGAAGATTATGCAATGCCCTTCTTTCTTTGCCAACTACTGGTATTTTGACTGTAAACATAAAAATATATTTCCCTGTAATACTCTTAAAAAATTAATTGTGAATCTAAGAATTAGAGGTAGTAATGGTTCAGATGGTTTGCCATCAGCTGAGGCCCATACATGGCTTAAGGATGAATGATCAGGCTCTCATCCTAAGAATTTTTATTTTTTATAATTGATGCCGAGTATGTTTTGCCACCACTGTTCCCCACTTAATTACTTTTCTTTTTGATCAAACACATTAATGAAAAGAGATCTAATAAATCATGTGCAAAAACAGTAAAGTGCTTAATTAACATGTGTGGCCCTGATTGATGGTGATAGAAAGCAGTATTAGTGCAGAGCAGGCTCACAAGGGCACCTTCAACCAATGTGGTATTGCAGTATCTTGAACAAACATAAGGCTGAGAGCGTAATACATGGACTCTATCCTCACTTAAGTACTATTTGTGACACTACAGATCATAATGTGATTATTATAATCCTCTTTCTTCTTTTTGACTCAGAGGCTCTGTGCTCTTGGCTTGGGGGATCTAAACATTATGTGGGAAACATAAACCAACAAATGCTAGGGTAGGCTATTACTAATCCTAATAGCCAGTATTTATTGAAGACTTATTACATTCTTGTGGCTCAGCTGGTAAAGAATCTGCCTGCAATGAGAGACCTGGGTTTGATCCTTGAGTTGGGAAGATCCCCTGGAGAAGGGAAAGGCTACCCACTCCAGTGTTCTAGCCTGGTGAATTCCATGGACTGTATAGTCCATGGGGTCACAAAGAGTCAGACATGACTGAGCGACTTTCACTTTCACTTTATTATGTTCTAGGTAATCTGCTATGTGTCTCAAAAGATTTCTCAGCCATAAAAAGGAATGAAATGATGCCATTTGCAGCAACATAGATGGGCCTAGAGATTATCATACTAAGTGAAGGAAGTCAGAGGAAGACGAATATCTTATGATATCACATATATGGAATCTAAACTATAATACGAATAAACTCATTTATGAAACAGAAACAGACTCACAGACATAGAAAACAAACTTACGGTAACCAAAGGGGAAAGATAGTGGGAGAAAGGATAAATTAGGAGTTTGGGATTAACAGATACATACCACTATATATAAAATAATAAGATCCTACCATATATAGAGCACAGAGAACTATATCCAATATCCTGTAATAACCTATAATCATGGCATCTGGTCCCATCACTTCATGGCAAATAGATGGGGAAACAATGGAAACAGTGAGACTTTTTTTTTGGCAGGGCTCCAAAATCACTGCAGATGGTGACTGCAGCCATAAAATTAAAAGATGCTTGCGCCTTGGAAGAAAAGCTATGACCAACCTAGGCAGCATATTAAAAAGCAGAGATATTACTTTACCAACAAAGGTGAGTCTAGTCAAATCTATGGTTTTTCCAGTGGTCATGTATGGATGTGAGAGTTGGACTATAAAGAAAGCTGAATGCCAAAGAATTGATGCTTTTGAACTGCGGTGTTGGAGAAGACTCTTGAGAGTCCCTTGGACTGCAAGGAGATCCAACCAGTTAATCCTAAAGGAAATCAGTCCTGAATATTCATTGGAAGGACTGATGCTGAAGCTGAAATTCCAATACTTTGGCCATCTGATGTGAAGAACTGACTCATTGGAAAAGACCCTGATGCTGGGAAAGATTGAAGGCAGGAGAAAGGGACAATGGAGGATGAGATGGTTGGATGGCATCACTGATGCGATGGACATGAGTTTGAGTAAGCTCTGGGAGTTGGTGATGGACAGGGAAGCCTGGCATTCTGCAGTCCATGGAGACACAAAGAGTCAGTCATGACAGAGTAACTGAACTAAACTGAACTGAGTAACATATAATGGAAAAGAATCTGAAAAAGAACACACACACACACACACACATATATAACTGAATCACTTTACTATACACCTGTACATCAATAACTAACACAGCACTAGAAAGCAACTATATTTCTATAAAAAAGATTGCCTTATTTAATGCTACAACAATACATTTAGCTAGTGATCATTACTATCTTCATTTTATAAGAAAAAACCAATACATATAGGTGGTAAGCAATGGTCCAGATTACACAGCTAATAAATGAGGCAGTCTAGTCAATTTTATCCCGTAGCCTCATTTCATTGACTGGAAGATGTTTTCCCATATATTTCCAGTTAATTTGAAATTCTGGGGAAGAATCATAAACTTTTATAGATGTCCCTAGAATGGAATCACCTGAGAACTAACAAGGGTTGTGATAATTCAGTTTTATATATACACATTGAAAAAGTAGATTGCATTGCATGATTAAGACACAGCAACAACTTAATTTTGTTGTGTGAGAGTGGTAGGACTATGGTTGAAGTTGGGAATTCTTTTTTATTCTTTATCTATGTTCCAATTTTTTTCTTTTTTGTGATGTGGTTTTGCTGCTTTTAAAATGAGAAGCAATGGAAGCCAGGCTTCTCAGGTGGCACAGTGGTTAAGAATCTGCCTGCCAATGCATGAGATGCCAGAGATGTGGGTTCAATCCCTGGGTCAGGAAGATCCCCTGGAGGAGGAAATGGCAATCCACTCCAGTATTCATGCCTGGAGAATTCCATGGACAAAGGAGCCTGGTGAGCTACAGTCCATGAGGTCGCAGAGAGTCAGATACAGCTAAGTACAGAATGGAAGTCACCAAATAAGTTCCTCTTCTCTTTACCTCCCTCAAGAATGGACAGATCCTACCTCACCTCAATCTGAAGTTGCTCAGAATGTATGACCAAATCAGCTTTGTTGTTAAAACAGACTGCCTATGTTCCCAAATCAGCTTTGGGCTCTGGAATCAAGTTTGCCCCCTGCCCCCTACTGAAGATTCCTGGTTGGCTAGTCTGTTGCTGAAAGATATTTATGAAGACTTTCATAATTCCCCGCTTACAGATTCTTTCTAAGAGCACTGAGGAGGGTAAAATGGATAAACTTTTGATAATCCTGCATAGCATCTCTTTTATAAAGGGCTGTTAGGTGCATTTGGTTAAATGAGACAAACAATCACTGTTTTGAACTCACAGATTCAGACGAAGAAGGGGACTGATTCATACTTTGTACCACATGATACTTTGTATCACACGTCAAACTTGAGGACCTTCAGCTCAGGTGCATCATTTGTGTGTTGGGGATGTGAGGGGAAGGCCAATATATTGAATATCTCAGTTCTGCCAAATACTCACATACAGGAGGACAGCAGAACTTCGGCACCTAAAGTAAACCAGGGGATCACAAAGGATGCTCAGGACCCAAATCAATTGCTTTAGTCCATGGGGAGAGGCAAAGAGCATCAGGTGTGTCCTAAAGTCAGAAAAAAAAAGTTCTAATAGGTGAAAGGAACACAGAAGAAATTAAAAAGAGGCCATAGGAAATTGGAGAGGAGAGATTAGGAGAGAGAATTTCCCCTCTTCACTTGACCCTTTTCTTGTCAAGACATTTAAAAGTAACAACTGGAAGCTTTTTTTTTTTCTTACCTGTTTGGAGCACACATCTACTTTCATTATAAAGTGGAGTTCAGTTCAGTCGCTCAGTTGTGTCCGACTCTTTGCAACCCCATGGACTGCAGCATGCCAGGCCTCTCATTCAATCACCAACTCCCGGAATTTGCTGAAACTCAAGTCCATCGAGACAGTGATGTTATCCAACCATCTCATCCTCTGTCATCCCTTTCTCCTGCCTTCAACCTTTCCCAGAATCAGTGTCTTTTCATATGAGTCAGTTCTTCGCATCAGGTGGCCAAAGTATTGAAGTTTCAGCTTCAGCATCAGTCCTTCCAATGAATATTCAAGACTGATTTCCTTTAGGATGGACTAGTTGGATCTCCTTGCAGTTCAAGGGGCTCTCAAGAGTCTTCTCCAACACCACAGTACAAAAGCATCAATTCTTTGGTGCACAGCTTTCTTTATAGTCCAACTCTCACATCCATACATGAGTACTGGAGAAACAATAGCTTTGATTAGATGGACCTTTGTCGGCAAAGTAATATCTCTGCTTTTTAATATGCTGTCTAGGTTGGTCATAGCTTTTCTTCCAAGGAGCAATTGTCTTTTAATTTCATGGCTGCAGTCACCATCTGCAGTGATTTTGGAGCCCCAAAATATAAAGTCTCACCGTTTCCATTGTTTCCCTATCTATTTACCATGAAGTGATGGGACCCGATACCATGATCTTCGCTTTTTGAATGTTGAGTTTTAAGACAGAATTTTTACTCTCCTTTTTCACTTTCATCAAGATGATCTTTAATTCTTCTTTGCTTTCTGCCATAAGCGTGGTGTTATCTGCATATCTGAGGTTATTGATATTTCTCCCAGCAATCTTGATTCCAGCTTGTGGTTCATTCAGCCTGGCATTTTGCATGATGTATTCTGCATAGTTGTTAAATAAGCAGGGTGACAATATACAGCCTTGACATACTCCTTTCCCGATTTGGAACCAGTCTGTTGTTCCATGTCCAGTTCTAACTGTTGCTTCTTGACATGCACGAAGATTTCTCAGGAGGCAGGTAAGGTGGTATGGTATTCCCATCTCTTGAAGAATTTTCCACAGTTTGTTGTGATTCACACAGTCAAAGGTTTTGGCATAATCAATAAAGCAGAAGTAGATGTTTTTCTGGAACTTTCTTTCTTTTTCGATGATCCAGGAGATGTTGGCAATTTGATCTCTGGTTCCTTTGCCTTTTCTCAATCCAGCTTGAACATTTGGAAGTTCACAGTTCACATACTGTTGAAGCCTGGCTTGGAGAATTTTGAGCATTACTTTACTAGCATGTGAGATGAGTGCAATTGTGCAGTAGTTTGAGCATTCTTTGGCATTACCTTTCTTTGGGACTGAAATAAAAACTGATGTTTTCCAGTCCTGTGGCCACTGCTGAGTTTTCCAAATTTGCTGGCATATTGAGTGCAGCACTTTCACACATTCATCTTTTAGGATTTGAAATGGCTCAACTGGAATTCCATCACCTCCACTAGCTTTGTTTGTAGTGATGCTTCCTAAGTCCCACTTGACTTCACATTCCAGGGTGTCTGGCTTGAGGTGAGTGATCACACATCATGGTTATCTGGGTCATGAAGATCTTTTTTGTACAGTTCTTCTGTGTATTCTTTCCACCTCTTCTTAATATCTTCTGTTTCTGTAGGTCCATATAATTTCTGTCCTTTATTGTGCCCATGTTTGCATGAAATGTTCCCTTGGTATCTCTAATTTTCTGAAAGAGATCCCTAGTCTTTCACATTCTATTGTTTTCCTCTATTTCTTCGCACTGATCAGTGAAGAAGTCTTTCTTATCTTTCCTTTTCTTATCTTACCTTTCACGTCTCTTCTTTTCACAGTTATTTGTAAGGCCTCCTCAGACATCCATTTTGCCTTTCTGCATTTCTTTTTCTTGGGGATGGGTCTTGATCATCGCCTCCTGTACAATATCACAGATCTCTACCCATAGTTCTTCAGGTACTCGGTCTATCAGATCTAATCCCTAGAAACTATTTGTCACTTCCTCTGTATAAACATAAGGGATTTGATTTAGGTCATACCTGAATGGTCTAGTGGTTTTCCCTACTTTCTTCAATTTAAGTCTGAATTTGGCAATAAGGAGTTCATGATCTGAGCCACAGTCAGCTCCCGGTCTTGTTTTTGCTGACTGTATAGCGCTTCTCCACCTTTGGCTGCAAAGAATATAATCAGTCTGATTTCTGTATTTACCCATCTGTCAAGGGAAAGAAAAGACTCATGTTACACATTGAGTGCAAAGTACTTCTGTGTAAAAGACAATCAGGCTCTGGTTTAAAAAGAAAAACAATTGAATAAGAGGTCCCCATGTATTTTTGTTCAATGGGTATTAAGTCTCAGGTATGAAAGATGAGTAGGTTTTAGAGATCTGCTATACAACATACGAACTATAGTTAATAACTTGGTGTTGTGCCCTTAAAGATTTCTTAAGACAGTAGATTTCATGTTAAATGTTCTTACCACATACACACAAAAGGGACACATGGAAACTTTTGGAAGTGATTGATATGGTTATTTCCTTGATTGTGGGGATAGTATCATGGGTGGATGCATATGTCAGAACTCATCAAACTGCATATATTAAACATGAGCAGTTTTTTGTACATCATTTATACCTCAATAAAGCTGTCCAAGAAAAGAAAAGAAAAAGAAAACCAAGTCATCCTCTAATGAAGTGAGATGCTCACAAGTTAAGATTCTATTACTGTAATGATTTTTAACCTTTTGGGGAAAGGTAGTGAAGACAAAGATCCCTTTAGGAATCTGATGAAAGCAACAGAACTTATCCACAGATAAAAGCATACAATTCGCTCACATGAATTGTTGTGCTTAATCCCAGAGTTTCTACATCCCAGCTATGGGCTATTCATTGGCCTCGTTAAAGAACACCAAAATTGTTGTTTGCTCTCATAGTCGTTCCAGGTTTCCTCTGACCCCTAATAGGTGTATAAGGTGCTACCTTTGTGTGTGGACATCTCTGTGTCTATTCACTTTCTCCACATGCAACTCATCTTTCATTCAACAGTTTTCCACTTCTACTTTAGAATGATAAACCAGCCGGCTCAGACTTCATATCTGCACACAGGGGAATGTGCAGGGATATGATTTCCTTTTTTATGTAACCAATGCAGGTAGTTGTAGATATTATGAAAGGAAACTCTTTCAGATTTTGAAAGGAAAACTGTCCAAATCAAAGAAAATATGGAAGAGAGATGACAGTTTTTTTCCTTCACATTTGATGGCATGATAAGGAGTAGAGAGTGAAGGGAAATTACCACTGGAGCTTGTCTGGTTGTTTCCTGCTGCTCTGTTACATAGGAACACATTTTATGAATGGTTTTGTACAGGATCCAGATGGGTAATAAAACACTGGAGTAGTTTTTCACAACCCATGGACTGTAGCTCACCAGGCTCCTCTTTCCATGGAATTCTTCAGGCAAGAACACTGGAGTGGATAGCCATTCCTTTCTCCAGGGAATCCTCCCAACCCAGGAATTGAGCCCGGGTCTCCTACATTGCTGACAGATTCTTTACCATCTGAGCCACCAGTGAAACCCAATTATGTCTTCTAAATGTGCATAGTTTTCTTAATAAAAATAGCCCAAAGTGATCCTTCAGCCAAAGAGGCTATGTATTTACAATGACTGCCTTCATTACAACAGTCAGTCTGGAATTTTTGTACTGTCCAATCTATTATGCATTCATTGAGTCTGATCTCATCATTAGACCATCTAATTTCCCAGTTCAGCAGGCTCTTCTTGAGTCATCTCACTCTTTCATGAATGACCAGATAGACAGACTCTAATCACTCTACCAGGCAGAGATTTCTCGGTGGTTATCCTGCAGCCTGGGCTTCCCAGGTGATGCTAATGGGTAAAGAACCCACTTGCCAATACAGGAGACATAAGAGATGTGGGTTCAATTCCCAGGTTGGGAAGATCCCCTGGAGGAGGGCATGGCAACCCACTCTAGTATTCTTGCCTGGAGAATCCCATGGCCAGAGGAGCCTGGCGGGCTACAGTCCATGGGGTCACAAAGAGTTGGACACGACTGCAGCCTATAAAACTTAATCTGGCTTAACATACTTTGCACCTCAGGCTGTCATGTGTAATGGTGCAACTTGTGTCCTCCACAGACTGTTGGGCTTGTGGGCTTGAATAAGGAAGGACTGTTTCCAACTAGAGATTACTGTCTAGGTGGCTCGTTGCTGTGCTTAGTCACTCAGTCATGTCCAACTCTTTGCAGCCCTATGGACTGTAGCCCACCAGGCTCCTCTGTCCATGGGGATTTTCCAGGCAAGAATACTGGAGTGGGTTGCTATGCCCTCCTCCAGGGGATCTTCTCAACCCAGGGTTTGAACCCAAGTCTCCTGGATTGCAGGTGGATTCTTTACTGTCTGAGCCACCAGGAAAGCTCATTAGGTGGCTCATGAGCCTTCACCAAATACTCAAATACTTCAAACCTTGGTGGTTTAAAACAGTAACCATTATTTTTGCTCATTATTATAGGTTAGCAATCTGGGTTGGGCTCAGTTGGGTGGTTCTTCTAGGCTTGGCTGACCTTGGCTAGCTTGCTTTTTCACCTATAGTCAGTTAATGAATGGGCTGGAGCTGGCTGGTTTAGGATGGCCTCAACTGGGATGGCTAGGATGACTGAGACCTCTCCCCTTATAGACTTTCACCATCCCCCTTGCTAACCTGGATGGACTCTGCATAGTAGGAATAGTTACTGAGAGCAGCAAGAGGGCAAACTCCAATGTATAAACCTTTTTCAAGTCTCTGATTGCATCATGTTTGCTGATGTCCTGGTGGCCAAATCAAGTCTTAACAACAGTCCAGAACTAGTGTGGAAGGGCAGTATCAAAGAGTATGGGTAGAAAGAATATTTTGTGTCCCACACAGAATTATGGTGGTGGTGTCAGAGCCTATATTAATATGGAGGAAGGGGCAAGTCTTTCTAGATGGTCCACCCATTAGGTGAGTGTTTTCCTAATTCA